CACAACCGCTTCTGGAGAAAGGTCTTTTTCATCCTTGCGTCGACTTAAAAACTATCTCAGAAATACTACGGGTCAAATGAGACTAAATGGATTGGCAGTCCTCAATATACACCAGGATATTAATGTTGATCCATCGATGATAATTGATGAAATGGCTAAAACTTCAAAACGAAGACTCAATCTTAATTTATAAGTGTTTTTGTATTCATAATACGACTCTATTTCTATACTTATGACTTTATTATTTTTTGTGATTTATGATGATTGAGAAATATTAAGTATACATTATATATAATACATTAACATTATTTATGTAATAAATTATATAATTAACCATGCAGAATTTTATCTTATGTACATATTATATTGTGCTAATGTAACCCCCCCCCCCAAAAAAAAAAAAAATTTTTTCCTAGTTGCGCCACTGTAGGTAGTAATAACTTGAGGTTCAGTAACACTTTGTTTTTTCAATGATTTTCATCCTTGATTCATTATTGTCAATATTGCACATTTGCACCTAGAAATATTTAAAGAGTAAAATAAAATCTACATAGTAGGTGGATAATGAAGGTTTATGAAATTCATCCTGATAGTCACATCGGAACCAACTAATACCTAAGAAATAACTTTTATTTTTTTCAAAAAATTTTAAGTATCATAGACATAATATGTCCTAAACATTTTTACTAAAACTAACAAAATTAGAGTGTTGGTCATTGACAAATGCTTTAAAATTTACAGAAATGTTTAACAATTTTTATAATAACATCTCAAGAGCCTCAGTTTCAAAGTTAGACATTTTTGTCTTGAAAAATTCAAATAAAAAAAATCATTTAAGGGGATTGGAAGCGGCGGTTTTCTGTCTTTATCTAACACACGTGGAACATAGGATTATAGACGTGTTCTATGTCCAACGTACCGATTAATCTAATGAAGCGATAAGAATTCTGAAAACAGATTTGAATTTGTCGTCAAGTCTACTTGAGATCGACTTTCCCACATTTTTGATATTGTCCCACCAAAATCATAAAAATGATATATTATAAAAAGTACTTAAAAAATTTACAAATTTCAACTTTTGGAGAAGTTTAAATCAAAAAATCAAAAATGTGGGAAAGTCGATCTCAAGTAGACTTGACGACAAATTCAAATCTGTTTTCAGAATTCTTATCGCTTCATTAGATTAATCGGTACGTTGGACATAGAACACGTCTATAATCCTATGTTGCACGTGTGTTAGATAAAGACAGAAAATCGTCGCTTCCAATCCCCTTAATCCAGGAGTTAATTCATATTTAAAGCAACTCTTATTAAAGTTCTTACATATGGACAAATGGGAATGAGAAGTAGATTCTTAACACTAATTGTTTCATACAATTTGTGACCCTGTCCATGAGGGTTTCTCGTGTTGCACATTGTTTGAGATTGTACTACTGGGTGAAAACAAATGTTTTTCAAACAGCGAGATGAAATTGAGTTTCCATTCTCATTCTTCAATTGTAGGCGTATAAAATTTTTCTCGGTATTTCTTCAAACAAAACTAAAGTACCTAAATCATATTTATATAATTTTAGTAATCATACAGAAAATTATATACAGGACGATTCTTTTATCATTGAACACTCATTATTTCAAAAACTATTAATGGTTTTGAAAATATTTTTTTGTATAGTTTCAAGTTGTTAAAAAACAAAGTTTTTATTAAAAAATCATATTTTTAAATATTTTTTTAAGTTTTTTACTTTTTTTGAATGATAACATTATATATATAGGGCGATTCTTTTATCATTGAATTGATCTTGAAAAAGGATTAATGTTTTTGAAAATATTTTTTTTTCATAGTTTCAAGTTGTCATTTTTTATCCTTATATTTTTTTAAGTTTTTTACTTTTTTGAATGACAACATAGAGTTTTAATTTCATATTCCAAAGCAGATTTTTTTTCTAAGTATTTTGATACATATAAATCGAATTTGGGACGAGTAGTTTATGAGTTATAATTATTTAAATTTTAAAGTTTAGATAGTCGGTGAGGAGTGGTACGGTTTACCCTGTAAAATATTTATCCACTACTACGCTTGTCTAAACTTCAAATACATAAGTAACTTATAAACTACACATCCTAAATTCGATTTGTATGTTTCAAAATACTTAGGAAAATATTCTGCTTTGGAATATGAAATTAAAACTCTATGTTGTCATTCAAAAAAGTAAAAAACTTAAAAAAATATAAGGATAAAAAATGACAACTTGAAACTATGGAAAAAAAATATTTTTAAAAACATTAATACTTTTTCAAGATCAATTCAATGATAAAAGAATCACCCTATATATAAAGTTAAATAAAATTGTTTGATTAAATCTTACAAGGACTTAAAAATCTGAATATCTAGATTTTTCACTAGGAAAATATGATGATGTACCAGGAGAAAAAGTATAGTCAATACTATTATGTAAATCTAGACAAAATTTAAAAATATTATATTAAATAATTATTATAAATGGATCTCTGTATAAAAAATATTAAAAATCATATTAACTTACCAGGTGAACAAGTTAATGGAAGAGCTGAAATGTATACAGTATTATTGGGAATTGTACGTAGATAAAATAATAAAATGGTCAGTTTAATCATGACAAAATAAATAGGTATGTCAGCAACTCGTGATACGCATTCTGTAACGTAGGCATTTCTCCAACAGGTTGAGCTGTGGTGGAGTCTTCGGCGGCAGCGGAGGCGGTTATTGCGGCAGTGACGGCGGTGGACCAATGAGAACCGGAGAAATACTTACGTCACAGTAAAGGGCTGGGCGGAGGGTGGGTGGGCGATTTGTTTCTAAATACGTAATATTGCTGACATACCTGTATAATTTGTCATGAGTTTAGTGGGGATCAGTACTTTTTCCCGACATTCAGTTGCCCGACACCTTATTACCCGACACCATTTGCCCGACACTACGTTTGCCCGACACTATATTTGCCCGATACTACACTTGCCCGACAATATCAAATTATAATGTAAATAAATAAATTTCAATAACATATATTACACATTCAAAATGGTTAGGTTAGGTTAGGTTTATTTCGTAAGTTATGTTGTCCATTAATTAAAATGGTACCACCACAATGGAGAGTTTTTCTCTTTTCGCATCACCAATAATATAAATCATCTCTATTTTTGTCTTTTGTCATTATATAACCATCGATAACAAGTTTTATACCACCTCTATTTGATAAAACAGTTTCACAAATTTGTGCCATTTTTCGATTTATATTAAAAAAAAAATAATTAAAATAAAATCAAACTGAATTAAATCAAAATTAAAATATTTTTAAAAGAAAGAAGTAAAATTCGTACTAAATGTGTATCTATATAACGGCTATAACTGTACTGTAGGAACTGAACTATCAAATGTCGCATTAAAAACCTACGGTAATTTTATCTGTCTATCGCAGTATCGCCTATCGGTTTACTTGGAAATTAATAAATATTAATAATAATAACAATATAGATTGTATATTAGTATTACGTATAGTCGTATAGTAAAAATATGTGAAATATATTGTCGGGCAAATGTATTGTCGGGTAAAAGTAATGTCGAGTAAAAGTATTGTCGGGCAGATGGTGTCTGGCAAATGAAGTGTCGGGCATTTGAGTGTCGGGCAAACATATCAGACCCCTTAAAACCGTATATAATAGCCATGGAGACTAGACTCTAGTCTTCATGATAATAGCATAGACATATGAGAAGGGGGCACAGATATGTATATAATATGATATTCACATACCATAGAGTAATAGTGATAATAATTACTGTATGGAATATACAAGACAGTAAATAAGAAATATTATATTATAATCGATAAGGAATTTGCTCGTGGGCAGCTGACAGTGTCTCTAGACGCTCTTAAAAAAGACGGTTTATATCACTACAATTATCATGGCTGAAAAATATCATATCAGTTTGGTTTGGAATAAACAACAAATTACATTATCACTGGCCGCTTAATTTAAAAATATTTAAATTTTTAATATTATATCACGGAATAAATCAAGAATCAGAATAAATTACTTTTTAAAAGTAATTTCTATCGAATAACACGTTACAGTTTCGAATTATTAGGTACCTACCTACCTATTGCGAATTGAAAAAAAATCTAATACTATAAAATGAAGAACAGCTGATTCCGAGAACAGCTGTCTACAAGCAACCCGTGGAACGAAAAACGCAGACCATAGTGAAACCGTGGCGTAAAAAATGAAGCACTGCTCCGTTTCCCCAGCCCGCCGGCCATGTCCCATCGATTCCTTATAGCGCGACCAATCGCGTACCTTCGCAGCGGCGGCGGTCGGTTTTAAAACGTTTTTCGTAATCACCTCTTTTCCTATCATTTCGCCGATTTTTGAAATTTTCGGAAAATTAGCTGTTTTTACACGATTTTGACCCTTTTCGCCCTTTTTTATACTTAATTCGAAGTCGCCGGTGTGCGGTTTATATTCGTGCGCCGTCCGAAGCGGTCACAATGTCGATCGAAAACTACACTCCCGACCGGACTTTTTTGCCGATTTTTTCCTTTTCTCACACCGTTTCGTCTATTCGCAAGCCGTTTGTGCCCGAATTGTGTAGTCGACGTCTTTTTAAAGCCGTTTATATGCGCTTTTCCCCCGAAATCGGTTCGTTCGCCTCGCAATCGCGTTTAGAAGCGACCGACCGACCGTACGCGTATATATTATACATATATATACGTGTATAATTTAATTTTTCCCTATGATTTAATAATTAACGGAAAACGCTTTTCACACGCCCCGTTAAATATATATATGGGAGATGCGCGTATTACAAGCGAATTATATGCGATTACATCGATAATCATCGAATATATCGGTTTACGTCGCTCCGTAGATGCACGGCTTAAGTCTTGATGTTTTGACCGTATTTCATATCTCAAATTGTGTCCAGGTAGGTTAGGCGTTAGGTAGGAAACACGTAGATCCCGGGTTCAAATCCGTCGTACGCTGGCCGGGCGTCGTAAGTTACGATTTTGATACAAAAATACTAACATATTAACATTTTCTGGTGCTAAACAGTTCCTTTTGGACGTAACGACATTCCCGGCAGTTGAAAAACATCGTTCCGAACTTACAGATGTTGCTGGTATCGACAAATATTTCTTTGCTAACTCGGCTATTAAAGGATATTTTTTTTCATGTGACTTCCACCATCCAAATGGATCAAAATCGTATATCAGTTGTGGTTCTGTTAAGTAAGAATGATATTGTGTCGAAGCATCATTGATGTCATGAACTTCATCGCCATATAAAAATTCAAGTGCACCCTTATTTTTTTGAACACAAACGTTAGTTTCCTCTCTGTTATCTGGAGTATTCATTTCAACCAGTAAATTTTTTACTTTGGAACGAATATTTTCCCTTACATCTATTTCTTCATGTTCCAATTCTTTATACCTTGGGTCAAAAAATGAAGAGACTTGTCTTGTAGATACTATGTTTTCTAAATTGTTAAGCTTAAAACGTTCTTTCAGTTGCGACACTACTGTCTGTTTGAAATTTATAACGACTTCATTATCATCTTTATTTAGTTGTAAGTGTTTTTCAATCACTTTTGAAAGAAGTGGTCTAACCATTGATACAGAAGAATGTGTTTCGGCACAAAACACGGTTGTGACAATTTGCAATGGTTTTAACAAGATAACCAAAGTTTCCATTTTTGTCCAGTCACTTTCCGTAATTTCCAACTTTTTTGCTATTGAAACATATTTTGTTGTATTACGATCTGCTAAGACGTTTGTCACAGCACACCTATTAGCATAAAGACGATCCAACATCATATATACTGAATTCCATCTTGTTTTACAACTTTGGATTAGACTTTGTTGTGTTAATCCGAGCTGCTCTTGCATTTTTGTTAAAGCATGCTTAGCTATATTGGAATGTTTAAAATGACCAACCATTTTACTACTTAACTGAATTAGTGTAGTGATTTCATCTCGTCCTAATCCATTGTTGACCGCGAGTTGAATGCTATGAGCAGCGCACGTTACATCATATGTTTCAGAGATATTTGTCAATAACTGTACAGCATTTATTGCATTTCTCGCATTATCTGTGACAACTGTCATAATTTTCCCACCAATTTCCCATTTATCAAACGTATCTTCTAATTGATGAGCAAGATTTACAGCAGTATGAGATTCCTCCATTTCATGTGTTGAAAGTGTATACGACTTCGGGCACCATTGATCATCAATTATATGAGTAGTAACTGTAATATAGCTGTGTTGAGATAATGATGACCAACAGTCAGATGTACATGCTATACTTTTAGAATCTCTTAATTTTTTCTGTATTATTTCTGTTACTGACGATCTTAACGCTTTCATTCTAGATTTTATTGCTCCTTCTTTACAAATTTTATAATTAGGTTCAACAACAGCACATAATAAATATTTAAATAAAAGTGATAAACAGATAGAACATTTTTTAAGAAACTATACATTTTGCATACAATATGGAAAGAAAATTGCTACTCAGAATTTGGAAGGATTGTATAGTATTTTAATTGGAAAAATAAAGCATTCATCATATAATGACAGTAGATTAGAGATTATTTTTAAATTAACTGACAAAGAAAAAAATTATTGGTTAACTGGATTTCCATTTAAATTTCATGAAGATATAATAGATCAACCCAGTAAGGAACAATCTATTTATAAGCCTACATTTTACGAAGAAAAATTTAAAAGTAGACATACTCAATTTGAAATTGGTAATAGAACTGGAATTAAAAATATACCGGATTTTATAGATAGTACAAAGAAATCTGTTTTTGGTCTTATTAAGAAATGGTTATTTAAACATAAGTCTGTAAAAGCTCATTTATGTGTTATTTGTACTTATGAAAAAGGTGGTATTATAGATGTTGTAGAATCAGCAGTTAAATATTTGCAAACACCGAATTATGATATTTTTCCAGAGTCAAATTTAGATGAAATATATAAAGAAATGAAACCTAAAATATTATATGAACATGAACGTGTTTCAGATAGTTTAAGAGGATCGCAATGGGTGTTAGTTTCGGTTAACACTCTCAATGTAGCCATAAATAAATATGCTCCCATAAAGGGTAGCTCTTATATACCAACTCCGGTAAAAATAGCTAACAGAAAAGCAGTTATAAATGTAAAAAATGAAGATGATGATAAATGTTTTTTATGGTCAATTTTGGCTCATTTATATCCAGTTGAGAAGGATCCGCAAAGATTAACAAAATATAAAAAATATGAAAATTTGTTTGATTATATGTTTGTAGATATTGAGTATCCGATGGAAGTTAGTAAGATTCCTAGTTTTTTTAATGAAACAAATTTGATTGAAGGTAGATTATCTATTAATGTTTATTATCATGTTGAGAAATATAATATAAACCCCTTATATGTAACGAAAGATGAGAAAAAAGTACATATTGATTTATTACTTTTGAAAGACGGGGATAATACACATTATTGTTTAATAAAAAATGTATGGTGGGGGTTAGTTAAGGGTCAAATTACAAAAAATTGTAAAAAGAGATATCTTTGCAGAATGTGTTTAAATAGTTTTCAAACTGAAGAAAATTTGTTAAATCATAGAAGTTACTGTGCATTAAATAAGATATCACGGTTGAAAATGCCGAATGAATTTAATAATATTATTGAATTTAAAAATTTTAATCATAAAATGAAAGTGCCTTTTGTTATTTATGCAGATTTTGAAAGTGTTATAAAACAGATAAATGAGAGAAAGAAAAATTGTAGTACAGTTAAAATTCAGAAACATATTGCAATAAGTTTTGTTTATATTATTGTATATGCCAATGGCGTTTTTGAAAGAGAAATTTTTGAATATTTTGGTTTAGATGCCCCAATAGTAATATATAAAAAATTAAGAGAAGATGCAATATATAGCTGAAAATTATTTAGATAATGTTAAGAAAATGAATGAGTTAACCGAGATACAGAAAAAAGAGTATGAAAATGCAACAATTTGTCATATTTGTGAAGAAAAATTAACTAGCATATCTACCCATATTTTAAGTTACTTTAAATGGAAAAATATTAATATAGTTGATTATAAAAAAGAGAATCTTTATAAAGTTCGAGATCATGATCATTTAACAGGTCTATATAGGGGACCTGCCCATAAATATTGTAATTTAACTTTTCAAGTTCCAAGATTTATTCCTGTTTTCTTTCATAATTTTTCAGGTTATGATTCACATTTATTAGTTAAAGAATTAGGATTGGATTGTATTCCCACAAGCGAGGAAAAATATATTTCATTTTCTAAGAGAATAAGGTATTCTCAATATTCTGATATTGAACTTAGGTTCCTAGATTCTTATAGGTTCCAACCTAGTTCTTTGTTTAAGTTAGTTAATAATATGAATTTATGTAATTTTAATGTTTTAAAAAAATGGTTTGAAAAAACTGTTCCTGATAATTTAAGTGAATTGGAAAGAAAGTATTTATTTAGATTATTAACAAAAAAATTAGCTTTTCCATACGATTATATGTCTTCATTAGATAAATATAAAGAGACAAAATTACCTCCCAAAGAGTCTTTTTATAATTCATTAAACGGTGAAAATATTACCGATGGAGAATATCATTATGCTAAAGAAATTTGGAAGTATTTCAACAAAAAAAATATGCAAGAATTTAATATGTTATACAACACTATAGATGTATTTTTATTAGCTGATGTTATGGAATATTTTAGAGAGACTTCGTTAAATACATAGGGATTAGATCCAGCTTGGTATTATACTACACCCGGATTTGCTTGGAGTTGTATGTTAGAAACTACAAAACAAAAAATTAAATTAATTACTGATGTAGATATTCTTTTAATGTTTGAAAGGCCTAAACGGGGTGGTTTATCCCAGTGTTCAAATAGATATAGTGAAGCAAATAATAAATATATGGGTAAAAAATTTGATAAAAATACAGATTCAGTATATATACAGTATTTAGACGCATATAACTTATATGGGTATGCTATGTCAAAATATTTGCCTTATCGTGGTTTTAAATGGGCAAATCCAGATTTTTTTGATGAGGATAGGATTTTAGAAATGAAGGAAGAACAGGAAACAGGCTACCTTTTTGAAGTAGATTTAATTTATCCAGAAGAACTTCATAAGAAACATAATGATCTACCATATTGTCCAGAAAACATATTTGATGGTAAAAAGTTACCAAAATTATTAACTACACTATATGATAAAAAGAATTATGTTATTCATTATTTAAATTTACAGCAAGCTTTGAAGGCGGGTTTAAAATTAGGAAAAATTCATAAAGTTGTTAGTTTTTATCAGTGTGATAAAAATTTAAGAAAGAAAGCAAAAAATAATTTTGAGAAAGAGTTTTATAAATTAATGAATAATTCTGTTTTTGGAAGAACAATGATGAATGTAAGAAAACATGTGGATATAAGATTAATATCTGAAGGTGATAAATATACAAAATATGTTTCTAAACCTAATTTTAAAAAATCTACATTTTTCGGTAAAAATTTGTCTGCTGTTGAAATGAATAGAACAGAGATTAATTTTAACCAACCTATCTTTATAGGTGTATGTATTTTGGAGATTTCAAAGATTTTAATGTATGATTATTTTTATAAACTGAAAGAAAGATATGGAGATAACATTAAATTATTATATGGTGATACTGATTCATTAGTATGTGAAATTAAAACATTAGATTTATATGAGGATATGAAAGCAAATATTGATGAATATGATACATCTGATTATGATAAACATAATATTTATGGTATACTTCAAATTAATAATAAAGTAATGGGAAAGTTTAAAGATGAAATGAATGGAAAGATTATTGAAAGTTTTATTGGACTTGCTTCAAAGTCTTATTCAATTAAATTATTTGCTTCATATAAAGGTATTAGGAAAGCTAAAGGAGTAAAGAAAAATATAGTTAAGAATAATATAACTCATGATGATTATAAATTATGTTTAGAAAATAATATATGTAAAAATGTAGAACAGATAATGATACGTAGTGAAAAACATGAAATTAGTTCTATAAAGCAGACTAAAATAGGATTAAACTGGTTTGATGACAAAAGACATTTAATTGATGGAAAAACAGATACATTGGCATGGGGTCATAAGAATATCGGAATAGATAGAGCAGATTTTATTAACCACTTAAAAACTATTAATAAGACCAGTGGCGTATTTACGGGGGGGGTCCCCGGGTCTGGACCCCCCCCAGAAAAAAATTAAAAAATGCATAAATAACTTGCTACGTAGGTACCGAGAAAGAGAAAATTAATTTTATATCATGGGTTTTTAATGTTTCTATTATAAAAAAAAAAATATATACAATATTTGTATAAATATTAAATAACTTGGGTCTTGGGTTTAACTTTTAGTTATTTTTGTCGCGTCGTCGCCATCCGACGACGACAACTACGACGATAACGAACCGACGACGGCAACGACGACGATAACGACGTAAGACGTAACATGATATATCATAATATATTATGATCATATTAGTAGGTACGCCGACTATTATTGACATTATAGTAGGCATTCTGCGTAGTGCGTTCGTTCGGCCGTAATAATTTGCAGTTTGTTATTGACGGCATTGACATAATATTTGCTTAATTCGCTACACGAACACCGAAACACTTAACAAGACAGTAAGGACGTAAGGTAATTGCTAATTTATAATTTCAAATTTAATTTACAAATATTATTGTTTGATTTAACGTGTAAAATGAAAATATTAAAATGATCTAATTTTTTATTTGATGCATTACTCAAATTTTTATACTTCCAAGTTTGCAATGCTTGTATACACTAGTCACTAGGTATACATAATATTAATGTATTTTATATATTATTCTTAATAGATCACAATCATGACTTCTAAAAAGCAACCAAATATTCAGTCTTTTTTCAAACCTCAAAAAGTTTATAATATTCAAAATAACACAGATTCAGTAGTTTCAGGATCAGATACTGATATGGATATCCCTACGTCATCCATGTCCCATATAAATAGACACGATATTTTCAATTACGTCAAAAGAGTATTGACTCAAAATGAAATACATGATATACTAAATGCGATTTGGATTCCCGATGTAAATTATAATTTTCCTGTGAAAATATTTATTGTTGGACAAGATAAAACTGCTAAGCACTTGAAGTTTCAATATAAATGGTTTGCTAGCTTTTCTTGGTTGGTGTATTCTGATATAGATAATGGAGCGTATTGTAAATTTTGTGTAGCTTTTTCAACAAATTATGCTGGAATTAATAATCAAACATTAGGATCATTAGTTACAAAAAAATATGACAACTGGAAACATGCATTAGAATATTTCAAAAATCACTCGCAACTAGAATACCATAAAAAATGTATATTAGATTCAGAAAACTTTTTAAATATTATTAAAAATCCCACTTTATCAGTAGACAAACAAATTGATATTGGAAGAAAAAAAGAAATAATACAAAATCGTAAAAATATCATTCCTGTTATTGAGGCAATTATTTTGTGTGGTCGGCAAAATATGGCATTAAGAGGGCATCGGGACTCTGGGAACATTTTCAATGCATGCTCAGATGACAAACATAATAATGACGGTAATTTTAGGGCAGTTCTTCGCTATAGGGCCCAAGGTGATAGTGATATGAGATCATATCTTGAAAGTTCTGGTACCATTAAGTACACAAGTTCTACTAGTCAAAATGAAATAATCGATTCCTGTAACAAAATATTATTGAACAAAATAGTTTCAAGAGTAAACGAAGCAAAATGTTTTTCTGTTCTTGCTGACGAAACGGCTGATGTGTCGGGTATAGAACAGGTATCTTTGTGTGTTAGATATGTTGAATTAAGCACCCTTGAACTTCATGAAGATTTTTTGCAATTTGTGCCTGCTGTTGACATGACAGGGAAAGGATTGGCGAAATTAATAATTGATAATTTACAACATTTTGGCATAGATACAAAATACTTACGTGGTCAGGGGTATGATGGGGCGGCCTCTATGTCGGGAAAATTTAATGGCGTTCAAGCACATATTAAAGACACACACCCTTTAGCAATTTATGTACACTGTTCAGCACATGTGTTAAACCTGGTAGTATCTAAATCATGTAGCTCGACACAAATAAGAGACTGTTTAGCAACTTTAGGGAAAGTCCGCGATTTCTTTATTTTTCCGAAAAGAAAATCAATTCTTCAATTTCATATTGAAAATTCAGCAGAAACAACTACAAAAAAGTCATTGAAAAGAAGTTGCGAAACTAGATGGATAGAACGATTTCACGCCATAAACGATTTTATGGAACTGTATGAGTATGTCATTGAAGCATTGGATACAATTTCGGAATGGGACGATAACGATACTTCGAATAAAGCAAGACGTCTTAGAAGTTCTATTTTAGATATAGAGTTTGTGATATCATTATTCGTACTAAACAAAGGTTTTAGTATAGGTTTACCACTTTCAAAGTTCCTACAAAAACCAAATATTGATCTTAAATTGGCTGTACAATTAGCAAACGATACACAAAAAGAATTACAAGAAATTCGAACACACGCCGATGATGTTTTCAAGGAAATATTTGAAGAAGTAAAAGTAGTAGCCGAAAAATTTGATATTGAAATTAAAATTCCGAGATTAACAAAAAAACAAACTAATAGATGCAATATACCATTAAATACTCCGGAACAATATTATCGAGCATCAATTTTTATTCCTTATCTTGACAAATTTATTACAGAGTTAGAAGAAAGGTTCAATGTTCATCGTTCGATTTTATCAGGTTTCGATTCTCTATTTAGGGAAAATGGTCCCATCGAAGATATTATAATTCTTTCAAATAAATATATTGAAGATTTACAGAATGATGGATCTCAAAATCAAATTATTGAAGCAGAATACAAATTATGGCAGAGAAAACTGATGCAAACAACAGAGAAACCAAATAATGCTGTAGAGGCTATGGCTATGTGTAACCAGTTAATTTATCCAAATATATTTAAACTTCTTCAAATCTTAGTCACACTTCCTGTTTCCTCTGCAACAAATGAAAGAACATTTTCAAATTTAAAAAGAATTAAAACATATCTAAGGAATTCCATGTCAGAGGTAAATTTATATGAACTTAAAAAATATTCTTGTTATTTACATTTATTTATTTTTTTGTTTATAGGGAAGATTGAACGGTTTAGCGATGTTATCAATAAATAAAAACTACTCAATAAAACCGGAAGAAGTTATTGAAGAACTGGCGAGAAAAAAAAGACGTTTACCTTATTATAAAAAACTCTTAATTTGTATTAATAAATCATAATAGTAGTGAAATTTACATAATATAATATAATTATTACATCATAACTCGTATGTGTTTTTTTTATATTATAAACTTGTAGGTACCTAATATTTAGACCCCCCCCCCACAAAAAATTTGAAAATACGCCACTGAATAAGACTAAATGTTTATAATAATTTCTAATTCTAACACGAGCGTTTTTTCCGCACGTGTTATTATTATCACCAAACCCCATAAATTCTAACAATTTTTCAGTAATTAATATTTCTTTTTTATTAAACAAAGGAACCCATAATTCTAAGAATATATTATTATTTGATAATCGCAGATAAATCAGCTTTGCTGACGCAAATTAATTAAAAAATTATCTATGTTTAAATATATAAATATGTAAATATAAATATTAGATATAGAATTTATGAGATTTTTGAATCTATGTTTTTAAAAGTAAATATGTAATAAAATCGTTACATATTATTTTAGTGCCATCTTGATCTGCGAGAAATACTTCAATACGATTAAAATCTGTTATATTCATATTTAGAGGAATAAATTTAATGTCATTAGCTATATATTGGCCACTTTTATCACATTTAATAACACATAAAATATCACCGTTTGAGTGCAAATATTCCTTAGTTTTATAGTTAGAAATGGATTTTTCAATTATATTACAATGTACTTCAGTAAACTTATCTTCAAAATAATTACTGGTTATAATATCTGAACCAACATGTTTGTGAATTGTGGGTATACTTTTTACCAAGTCCTAGGCTTGATATTAAATTTTCATCCAATAAATAATAATCACTAAATTTAATTGTGATATAGTTATTTGTTTGTTCTATTTTTACACTTGATGGTAGTATTTTATTTAATTGATCAATAGTGTAATTTCTCTTTTCTATTAAAGTTAAGCCTTTTAATGTTATAATATCACCATTTACTTCTTTTAGGAAACCTTGTGTGTAAAATTTAGGTATTAACGTACCTGTTTTACTATATTTAAATGGCTGTTCAATTTTATAATTTGAAGAATTATTAAATACTGGAATTCCTAAACAATCAGTTAAGTGAGAGTCAAAAACATACTCATAGTTAGTTGAAATCATTAAATATTTATTATTATTTATTGTAATTTTAGTATTAACAACGTTCTTGTCTAGATTTAATAAATTTTGAATTTCATTAATAGAATATACACCAATCTTATGAGACTCTTTTTCGACTTTAAATTCACATTCATATTCAATATTTATGTAATATTCATCACTAGTAGGATAATAAATTATTCTTTTCTCACTTGTCATTGAAAAATAATATATATCATTAAAACCTAGGTATTTTTTTTAATTTTCATCTAGTTTATAGTACAATGGAGATTCTATTTTAATTTTTTTTTCAATAATAGAGATAACTAATGGTTTTATTAATTTATTTAACTTTTCAACAGTATAAAGCCCACTTATAATATCAATTATATTAAGAGGACGTGTCACCCAAAGCTGTACGCATGCAACGACCGAGAGGATGCGCTGTTAGGTGTTTTCACGATCCGCAAGCGCGCGGCGTTTAAGTCACGCCTACTATTCGCAACCGGCCGAAGGTGGCGACGAGTGCTCGTTCGGGACTTCGGGAGCGCTGTTGATTTGTCTATGAACGTTCGTTCAGTACCATTCGTATCATTATATAATTCATTATACCCAAATGCCGCCGTAATATTTTCAATACCCTCGCGTACCTACGAACTACAGATTATAAATAAGGATACTGTTTACTTAAATTTATGTCCCAACATGTAGACCGTAGAAACTGTATTATAACATAGCTTGATTTGAAGTTATTGAATTATTACTTATTTAAATATAATACTTATAGTAAAATCTAATAAATGGTAAATAAAATAAATACAGCGCAATTAAATTAATATTAATTTACCGTGTATTATTTTTTAAGTTCAACTGTTTCACGATTTTCGAACACTTGTTCTTTTTTACGAGATTGCAATGAGGGAATTATTGGTAAAATTGACTGTCTTAACAAACGTTTCATTGAACTTGCTATGTGACTCTCTGTACACTCATGATGTTCAATACCATTTAATCCTCTAAACCATGCGTTGAAACCATTTTTTGTCCATGCAGTATTCGGTTGGTTATCAGAAGAAGAAAAAAACATACAATCATTACAATAAATATGGTCATTGGTAATAGAATAGCTAAGCCAATTTATATTTTCAACACTTTTTCCATCTGGAAGAATTTTTTTGTACCATTCAGAATGAAATCTACCATTTTTATTTATTGGAAATTGTTTTTTATTAAGAGAGTTAGCAGTAGGTTGTGATGGACTTATTTCTAATATTTTGGTAATTAATTCATAATTTGGATTCTTCCGTAAACATAGTTTGGCAGGATCATTGTCCAATGTATTTATGTTAGTATCTGATTTCTGACCTAAAATATGAAAATATTGTGTTAACCTTCGCCATAACATATTGCCTACATGAAATTATTTTGAAATACCCATAATTTGTTAAAATATATGATTATGATATTTATTTATTAAGCTCACAAGCAATTCTCTTTATAAAACATAATCTTAATTGTTTTGCGTGTTATGTGATAAAGTATAGAAAATGTAGAAAAGGGAAAAGTATTTTTTGTTTATCCTGAAAAGTTATTAAAATGTAACATAGATTCCTCTTAACAAATGCCCATTCAATTTAAAAATGAAATATACCTACCTGAAACTTGTGGAACTGAGTTAACTGAACCTTCGGCAAAGACATTACTTAAGTCTGGTTTATTAACATCAACATTATTATTTTCCTCAGAATCCACTGGCTTTAAAACTTGTTCATAAACTCCAGAATCGATCACAGTATCAACTTCTAAATAAACAAATGTTGCTTTAGTTATTATTGTAACCTCGATTGTTACACATAATTTAGGTACATTAATAATAATGTTTAAGCCCATATTAAATATATCAGTAATTCAAAATCTAAATAAGCATTGATCATACTGAAGTCAATTTAAATTTGAACAAAAAATATTAAAAAAATTAAAAATACCTGCGACTTGTAGAACTGAGTTAACTGAACCTTCGGCGAAGACATTACTTAAGCCTGGATTATTAACTTCATCATTATCATTTTCCTCAGAATCAACTGGCTTTAACACTTGGTCATAAACTCCAGAATCGATCACATTATCAACTTCTAAATAAACAAATGTTGCTTTAGTTATTATTGTTACACATAATTTAGGTACATTAATAATAATTAATAATGTTTAAGTCCATATTAAATATATCAGAAATTAAAAATCTAAATAAGCATTGATCATACTGAAGTCAGAACAAAAATAATTACAAAATTAAAAATACCTGCGACTTGTAGAACTGAGTTAACTGAACCTTTGGCGAAGACATTACTTAAGTCTGGTTCATGAACATCAACTTTATCTTTTTTCTCATAACCTGATGGCTTTAATACTTGATTATTAACTTCTGATATTTCTACATTAACATTTCATAGGTATAAAAGTTAATAGGTATTTTTTATTGTTATTTAAACTTTTCTCTTATATATACTACTTAATATTTATTAATTGTATTTCATTATTTGATAGTGTTGACACATTTTTGAAAAAATGTAAAAAAAAAACATTTTTCAAAATTTTAAATTATTGATTTCATAACCGAACAATAAATAAACAAATAAACTTGACTTTTGCAAATACTTGTAATTGTTAAATTAGTCATAGTATGAAAATTGAAAACTAATTTTAGTTTAATAAGTTTTAATATTATGTTATACTTTTTAGTGATTTATTATTGCTTATAGTCTATGACAATTATTGAAAATGTTAAGTTAAAAAGTTACAAGGTACATAATTACCTTTCATAATTTTTTTTTTACAACCAATTGAAAAAAAGAAGTAATATCAGTATTCTTTGATTTAATTTTTGATATTTGACAGGTATCTAATGTCGCATCCAGTTAGTATCATTGATATATTTTGTTTTTAATTTTCCGCAATCACACTTTTCAATCATCTTGAATGCGACGTCGAAGATTTGTTGTATACTATCTATAAAAAAAAAACACAGTACCTATTTACCAGGTATTTATTATTAAATAAAAAATTAACAATTGATACCTAACTAAAATTAAATAAAATTAAAAATTGACATATTTAACAAACTATTGGTAATATATAATACTTTAATTAATATTAGGTACAATTTATAATCGTAGGCAGGTACTTACCGATTTGACGGTTTAATGAATTTAAAGAAAAAAGGCTGCGGGACTCTCCAGGCTGAACTGTATAAACTGGATAAACCAGATGATTATATATTTATTCTATCCACGCTCAATAATCAATACTCAATAGTCAATACTCAAGTGAAACGGAATGAAATTACACAAAACAATAAATTAATTAACAGACAAACAGATAAACAGTTCATACTTTTACAAGTATTAACAGAAAAACTTAACACTGTGGCACTGTCACTATGGAACGGGTGTGAAGTTGGGGGACTATAGCTAGGGGACTATTTTCTCGGACGATTAGTGATAACAGGTCTTGTGTGCAAGGTTGCGTTTTATTATATTAAAGGCACTCACCAAATGTACAACCATCAACCACAAGATGGCGCCATGAAATTCATTACTTAGTATTGTAAATAGTAATATAATAATATATTACATAGTAATAAGCGACCGAACAGCCCAGGGGACTATTTTTTCGTACTGCCTATGTACGATCGGGTGTGTGGTTTTTAATTTTTTTGACCAAGTTCCGGAAGGTGGCGCCGCATTAAACCTATATATTCGGAAAGCCAGGAAAATTCTCTATAAGACGTTTATACTTTAAAAATGTTCAAAGCTTTCGGGGTTATAGTAATAGGCGACCGAACAGCCCAGGGGACTATTTTTTCGTACTGCCTATGTACGATCGGGTGTGTGGTTTTTAATTTTTTTGACCAAGTTCCGGAAGGTGGCGCCG